TGCGAGGGTCAGGGACGACGTTGGGGTTGTGTGGCGTATACTTTTCCCCCGTTTTCCACGGGAAACAACGAAACATGTATACACCAGGATCCCGTATACACCAGCATCCGCGTTCCTGTGCGAATTGCAGCGAAGGGTCGGAAAAAGCGTTGGTGTATAGAGCTTGTTTCCCCATTTTGGTTCCCTGTGCACGATTCCCTTCGCTGCGGTCCAGCGTTTGCCACGACCAACTTCGGCGTCCGCCGAGTCCGAGACGGCAGCACATTTTTTGGGGGGGGCTATTTTGGGTGATTTTGGCAGGTTTCTGGAGAGCTTCTTGGGGGCTTGCTGGTGGTTGAGGGACAGTCTTGGGCGCGACGGCTCTACCGAGGTGTCCCTGAGGTAGACGCATGTTGTGGACGTCTAGGCAGAATGCTGTCTTAGAGCTCTCCTGGGCCAGTCTGGAACTTGTCTCGGGGATGTCGGGCTTTCTTGAGGCCGTTTGGGGCCTTCTTGGGAATTCGGGGCTCTCTGAAGCCTTGCAGAGGCCGTCTTGAGCTTGGGCCGTCTTGGGGCACTCTTAGGCCGTCTTGGGGCCGGCCCTCTTGGAGGCCTCTCTGACCGTCTTGGGGTGGTCGTGGGGGCCTCTTGGGCCGTCTTTCAGAACGCTAGAATCTTTCAACATCCTAAGGACATCGTTGATTTTGTGCCTCTTTCCACGCGGCGGCGACGTCGTCCTCGCGATCGGTTCCGCGCGCTTGCTCTCGCAGCTGAGCTTGGGCGGGGGCCCTTCGCAGGTGTACTGCTGCTGCTCCTCCTCCGCCTCGCCCTTGTGGTCAGAAGGCCAGGCCCGTAAGATGCAACTGCTCCAGGGCTCGTTTCGATTCCTGCGATTCGATTCGATTCGATTTCGATTGATTCCGATTCCGATTCGATCCGACTTCGGATTCCGATTTCGGTTTCGATTTCTCATTGAACGCGCACAAGCCTGCCGATTTCCGCCGACTCGACTTTTCCCGACTCGGCTGCCGATTTCCGCCGATCCGATCCATGCCGACTTCCGATCCGACCTGTCGTTTCGACTCTGGGCTCTCCTGCTGCTCTGCACCTCGCAAGAAGTTCTGGCTCGCCCTGGGCTCGCTGGGCCGGCGAGCTATGCACTGCCTGCTGCGGAGAGTGCACGCCCACGACCGGGGCTCCCGGCGGGCGGTGGTACGGCCATATTCGGGCCACCTAGGGCCCAAACATATCCGTGTCCACTCCCGCCGAGGTTCCTGGAGGTCGAACCCGCAGGCGGTGGTTATGGATACATCCGCGCCCCGCAGTTCTGCAGGCCTGCAGTATACAAGTGCAGTCGAAACCGATGATGGGGATTGGTGACACTCCCAAGGGTGCGCTGGCATCCTTGCCTGCTCGGTCCGTCCTGAACCCCTTGCGATGGCCAGCCCCGCTCGGAAAGCTTCGGCATATGGGTGTCCAAGGCCCGTGCATCCGTACCGCGCATCCTCACCATCAGTTCTGATGGTGCTGCGGACAGCGCGCTCGTAGTCTCCGTGCACGCCACACACAGCACTGACTCCCATGTGCCACATCTGCGACTGAGGGCCCTGGCCCGCTCGCGCCGGCCTTCCAGGCTCCACCCCCCGACGGACTCAGGCGCGCCCTGCCCTGCCTTGCGTTGCCTTGCCCTGCCTTGCCGTATACCCGATACGGCCCGTGGAGACGAAGGGGGTGGGGTGGGGTGGCAGCGCTGGAGGAGGGGCGGGGGTGTCGACTCCCGTCTGGCACGTGGTCGGCAAGGGTGTACGTCTGCACAGGTATCCTTGGGGCCCAGGTCTCGACTCCTCCTTCTGCAGGAGGAGGAGGGGGGAGCCGGCTCGAGTCACCACGAGTTGACGAGCTTGGCGCGCGAAAGAGGGCCCCGGGAGACCCTACAGGAATGGAAGAGCACGTCGAACGAAAGATCGTCTCTCTTAGGGACATCCGGAGACGACGGACCCAGAACTTCCCCTCGCACGCCGACAGGCTCGGCGGATTTTGCAGGAGGAGGGGGAAGGGGAAGGAGGGTCGAGGAGGATGAGGAGGAGTAGCGGGAAGACGTTGTGGAGGAGTTGCGCGGCATTCCCACCTGGTGCACATGTGCGAGTACCGGGCGCGCGGCATGGCATGAACAATCATTGCTTCCCATCTGTCTCAGTCCATGTGTGAAAACGTGGTCTTGCCGTGGCACATGTCTCAGTTTTGAAGTATCTGTTCTTGACTATTCGACAGCAGGTGCTTCAGGCAGCATTGCTCCGAAACCATGCCGAAAAACGTTGCTTGCGAAGTCTTGGCGCCGCGCCTGCTCTGCTTCAGCTTGCGCGGGTGATGTCAACGCACGAGGTCAGCATATAATCCAGACCAAAAGTTCCTGCAACCGTGTTTCTGGTTCCGTGCCATGACAGTATTCAGTTGATAGTGCAGCTGGCTCAGGCTGAAGTGGCCTCGCCAGTGCAGAGCTCTTTATGATTTCGCCCAACCCACTGGCGTGCTCAGGAGAAGAAGCAGGCTGCCGTGAACAAGCTCCTAACCATGCTGTCCGACATTCGGACCCAGGTGCTACCTGGAGGAGAGGAAGACTGCGGGGACCAGGGATCGGTTGTATTCGTTCTCTGCTTGTACGCTGCGAGTCGAGTTGATCCGTTCTCTGGGCCGGGGATCAGTTTCGCTTGCGCGCGGGGCTTCACCGCTGAGGATGTACTGGGGCGTCAGGACGAGGAGGATGAGGCAAGGTGACGATGTGGATGGGGGGGATGAGGGCGAGAAGGCAGAGCCACTCTGGCCTCTTCACGATTTCCACGTGGCCTTGTCGTTCTTGTGTGGCATCGGGCGCGCGTATCCACCCGTCATGGCCAGGCGATCACAGAAGGCGCGGAGGAAGCGAAGACCTACAGCCAGTTTGCGTGCTTCTGCAAGGACTGGGCAGGATGAGTAGGAGGAGGCGGAGGAGGAGGAGGAGGACAAGAAGGAGAAGGGAGAAGGGATAGCGAGGAGGAGGAGGAGGAGGAGGAGAAGGAGGAGGAGGAGGAGAATGACCAGTGTAAACTGCAAACGCAAGATGCAGCAACGATGTTGCAATATATCCTACCTCCAAGTTCCCTCTCCACAGGTCCCCCCACCATGACTCGTGTTCAGTGCGGGAGGCGCCCCGCTGGAAGACAGCCGATGGGGGATGCGCGGCGAGGGAGGAGCGAGATGGGACAGACGGGGCCTTCCTCCGCCTGCTCTGCCCCTTCTCCTCGTGCTTCTCCTGCTCCCCCTCCTTCTCTTCTCCTTCTCCTCCTCCTGCTGCTTCTTCTCCTCCTCCTCCTCCTCCTGCTTCTGGCTCCACGAGACGGGGAGAAGCGCGAGGCTCACGGAGGGGGTGCAGAGCGGCCCCCGCCGAAACCCGAGGACACGATCGCGGCGAAGCAGGCGTCCATCACCGCCGGGAAGGACGAGAAGGTCGCCCTCGAGAGTTCGGCCCTCGGCCTCCTCCTGCTTCCCCTCTCTCCCCCCCTCTAGCATTAAGTCGGGCCTGTCCCTCTACAGGAGGAATGCTCACAAAAATAATGAAAAATAGTCTGGGGACCATTTTTTTGACAATTTTTGAGCATTTTAAGGGTATTTTTTGACTATTTTCTATTTTTCGTCCAAAATCCTCCTGTAGGGGGACAGGCCCGACTTAACTCTAGCTCACAGAGGGGGCGGGGGAGGAGGCGTAGGTGAAGGTCACGGCGCTCGGGGAGTCGTCACCAAGCTTGCAACGCTTGTTCCTTCATGCTTGAGGTGTGGATGCAGGGCCCACCCGTAGCGGGAAAGCTCCGGGGGCCGGGCCTGCGGTAGCGCCAGGGCGTACCCTCCCCCCTCACTTCCCGCCAACGGCGAGGGCCCCGCTTCGGCGGGGGCTTCAAGACCGTCCGAGGAGGAGGAGGAGGAGGAGGAGGAGGAGGAGGAGGAGGAGGAGGAGGAGGAGGAGGAGGAGGAGGAGGAGGAGGAGGGAGGAGGAGAGAGGAGGAGGAGGAGGAGGAGGGAGGAGGAGGAGGAGGAGGAGGAGGAGGAGGAGGAGGGAGGAGGAGGAGGAGGAGGAGGAGGAGGACGCCAGTAGAAGGTGAGTCCAAGTCGCCCGAACCCACTCTACATCGAATAACATTTCAAAACTCGAGGGCCCCAGATCGGTATCAGCCAGGACCCAGGACCCTCAGCCGCTATCTAGGCGGCAGCCCACTCCTCAACCTCTCGAGGCGGGTCTTCTGAGCGCTGAGAGTCTTGGGGACCTCCGAAGGTCCCTGACAAGGGGCCTTGAGACCAAGCACCCTCCCCGACTCCCCAGCGAAGCACGCACACCGCTCACAGAAGACGTACACACCCGCCTCGGCCATCCGATGGCCGAGGTCGCGGAAAAGGGCCAAGTCGGCAAAACGCCGCCCCCCAGAGCCCGCCCCAGAGCTCGGCGCCCAGGTGGGCCACGTCTCAAGGACCCTTGCCGCCGCCTCCAAGGCGACGTGGACCGCATCGGAGGTCGGCCTCCAATCGGAGCAGCGCGCGAAAGCACGGGCGGCCTGCCAGCGCTGCACCTCGGTCGGCGTGCAGCGCGCCGAGCAGGACCTGAGGGCGCGGAGGCCAGCCGCAGTCCTGGTGGAGACACCACACCGCCTGCATCTCCATTCCTGGGCGGCGTCGCTCCTATACACGCTGTGGCACGAGAGGGGCTCACCAGGCTCTAAAATTTCAACAGGGGTCGGGCGGGGGCCAGGCCTCGGACGAGAACGAGCATCCCCCTCCGACGACGACGACGCCCCAAGCCCCAGATCAATGGCCCGATCCCCAGCCCAGGCCAGATATTTGGCGAACTCCTGGCACCCCTTGAGCGCTATTCGAAACAGATCAGCCGTGCCCTGCCCAACCATCTGGCTGGCAGCACCAGCCTTGGCGAAGAAATCAGCCCATGCATTTCCCAGAACGTGCAAAAACGGCGGGCCAGATCCAGGGGTCGCCAGGGCCGCTTCCGACAGGTCCCTATGGGCAGGACACCAGTGAGTGGTAGGCGGGACCCCTCCGCGACGCACGACCGCCGCACGAATCTGCCGCCACACAGCAGCATGCGCAGCCCCTGGACCTTCCGACTCCGCACTCCACTCCTGAGCTTCATTGGCCAGGCCCAAAAGATCAGTGACGACGACCTGCAGCGACGGGATTTTTTCCACCGCCCGCAAATAAGCGACCCGCTCGGCCTCGCCAACCGTCTGACTGGCGCCTCCGAGCCTGCCATAGCACGCTCTTAGTGGCGTGCCCGACGCGCTCAGCTGGACAACGCCCCAGCCGCTCGCCCTGATCTCTGGTTGAGGCGGCCACATGCCCGACCCGTCCGTGAACGCAGCATTGGACCACTGCGAGGGAACAGATTCCCAATCCCCCCGCCAGAAAATCGGCGAGTCACACGGAGGGTCAGGAGGTTTCATCGGGAGCAACGGGAGCCCAACCGACAACTCAAAACTCTCAGGGTCCAGAGCGGCCCCTCGGCGCCCAACAGGCCCCTGGTCCAGAAACCTATCACGAGTTTTGGCCAGGGACTCAGAAATCGGAACTTCATCTTCAAATTCCAACAGCTGCTCACGCAGCACAGAGCACTCGAGCAACAGGTGACCACACGTCTCTCTGTCCGCTCCGCAGCCCCTACACTTAGGATCGGGGGCGAGCCCTTTGTCATGCAACTTGGCCTGGGGCCACCAGGAGTCAGACCAGAGAGACCGAAGGATTCCAGCCGACCTGGGGTTTTTGAGCGCGGTCCACTTGGACCCAGCACAGGCGCGGATCCCACGGGGCCACAACTCGGCGTCCACGGGGAAACCAGGAAAATGAGCCTGGATGCGACGCATCTGCCAGCGCTGAATGCCAGCACGTAGCAACTTGATTAAATGTTGCGGATCAATCTGTAGCAAAGAGTACACCATTCCCTGATCGGAACGGATAAGCACAGACGACTCCATGCACCAGTCAACGCGAAGGAGAGACAACGCCACCACCGAAAGCGGGCCCGAGGCATGGAGCCAGGAGAATTTCTGACCCCGCTTTTCGGCCAGGGCCCTCCAGGCCCTCTCGAGAGTACCCAGGGACACAGTCTGCATCCAAACAACCTGGGCGTAGTGTTTGACTGGAGCGATCGTGGCTTCAAAAATCGGGTCACACCACGGATCCGACTGAGACGCCAAGTAGACCGTCAGGGACCCCCCACGACCCTTGGCACCAACCAAAGCCCCCGCAGCAGCTCTCAACTTCCGAAGTTCGGCGTCCGTGGTCCCAGAAACGGCACAGCAATGACTGGCACCTGGAAGCAGGCCAGTGCGCCACAGGACGGACACACGAGTGCCCGCCACCTTCTGCAGAGGGTAAACACGCTTCATCCGACGACTTAGCTTAGCGATTCTCTGTCGGGTGAGCGGCCGCCTGCGCTCACGCCCAGAGAGCTCGTGACCAAGGTTGCGCATGTTACGCTTAGCTTCCAGCCGAACCGCTCGGGCCCAGGGTTTCGAGGCCCGCAGGACCTTACGATTGGCCACCACGTAGCCAGACTTCCCCGGGGCCGAGTCCTGGAGAACGATCCCGAGAGGTTTAACATCAGCTTTAAAGTTGGCCAGCGCAGTACAAAGTTTAGAGATCCCACCCGCCTCCTCCCCAACCCACTGAATCGTGAGGTCATCGACCAAAGCACGAGGCACGACGCCACTCGCTCGGACACGCCGCACAGAGCGCAGGGTGAGGAGAGTGAGGAGGGAGGTGGAATGGGCACAACCTGCAAGCATGCCCTGCCAGGATACAACGGCCTCTGAATAGGAGGTGAAGGCCTTCAGTACCCTCGGCTGGCGATGGTATTCGACCACCATCCAGGCCAGCCGAAGAGGCAAACCATGGTGACGGGCTTCACAGATCAGCTCGCCAGGGCTGACGGACTCGTAGGCCTTCCACGCGTCCACCGCCGCCGTCGCCGTGTGCCAGCCGAGCAGCGACGCGACCTCCACCATCAGGTTATGCTCGAACGCCGCCGCCGACGAAGTGCGACCAACGCCTCCAGCTCCCCAAAAATCACGAAGGTCTGTCTGAGCAACCCACTGCCGACTGATGGAGCTGCGGGCCTTAGCCCACACGCGAAGCAGCGTCTGGACCAAGGCGGTGAGACGAGACCCGCCTCCTTCCTTCGGCAGCCTAACCAGCGTGGTGAATATGCGATTGTCTGGCCAGAAGCCCAACATCTCGCACCGTTGAAACAACTTTGACAGCACGATGAGACCTGCATCCGAGAGGTGCCACAACGCTCGAGGAGCAATCCCCGACTGACCCACTGCAGTCTTCGCCTTGAACTTCAGGCAGACCAACCGCAGCATGGCCACGGACATCTCGGGCAGGTGGTCCCAGTCGTCGAAGTCGGAGGGCCGAGAACACTGCGTCAGGCCATGCACAGTCCAGATCTTCTTCCACTTATCCATCTCTCGCTGACTAGTTGATGGGGGCTGGCCCGAGTGGTCTGGTCCAGCACCTCCTGCAACGGATGAGCACGGGTAAAACGATGCGCCATTGAAGCACCTCCACTTAACGCATCACGAGCCCACTGACGCCAATTGGCCCCTTGCTCACGCTCGAACTTCTTCCTAGCGTCCTCAGCGCGATCCAGGAAGCTTTGTACTGTGTGTCCAGCCCCAGGGTCTGTCCAGACAGCGATGCCACGAGCCAAGAACTGCACCAGGTCCACATCCAGCTTGCCAAGCGTCTCCGACGCCCGACCAATCTTCAAGTAGAACTGATTCAGCTCGCACAGCAGCCCAACTAAACGAGAAGTCTGACCAGTAGTGACCGAGCACACCACGTTGGCCGCCATCAGCCTCTGCCCAAGCTCACAGACCTGCTGCCGCATAGAGCGACCATGCCTGAGCCAGCGTGCTGCCACCTGCAGCGCCGCCACCTGCGGGGTCTGGTACACTCTCCGCCGAGGGGGCTTCCACTCTAGCTTCACCATGCGAAAGGCAACGTCACCCCCGCGGCCTCCATGCGACGAACGATCCGAATGTCTGTGTCCCCATAGATCAGAAAGCTCACATTCAATACCATGCAACACCTGGCCCCGAGCGCGCTGTCGGCCCACTTGGCCCTCAGCTGTCAGAACACAATGTAATGCACGTTCCCATTCACGAGTTCGCGGGAAGGGGGCACAGCCAATCGGAGCCTCGGACCCCCAGCCACGAGGCTCCACGGGCAGGCGAGCCCACGCCTCAACATCTTTCACAGCCAAGGGAAAGTGAACAGGGTGATGTGGGTACAGCTCAGACTCCTGGTCCACCCAAGGCGGGTCCACACGCAAAGCCAAATTGCTGCAAACAGTGCCGAAGTCGATGATGCTACCTTGACCTTTTACGCAAGTACTCTCACGCGGCACGCAATGGACTCCTGGGAACCCTTGGCTCCAACCTGTCATCAGCACATCCGAGCTCATGTTGAAGTCACCAACGCAGACCCAATCAAGCTTTAAAGCCGAAAGCAACAGCAAGTAGTGTTGCAAGTGGGCCTGAATGAACGCGTTCTCGTCATTGAGTCCGACCGAATCGTGAAAATAGGCTGACACAACTACGATGCCATTGCGCACTCCCCAATGAACATGAGCAGCACAAAGCCTCCCAGGCGCAATGTCCTGGTCGAAGTAGGGCGCCGCCGTAACCGAGATGTGCGTCTTGGTGAGGATAGCCACGCCACCAGAGGTTCCACCACCATCTGACGGCACCGCCGCACTCCACACTCCATGATAGCCGAGATCCTCCGCCTGATTTTGCAACGAACTCAGCCGAGACAAGATGCCATGATGCTCCTGCACCGCGATAATGGAGCTGGGCGGGCCAGCTGCTAAAAACTTGATGAGAGGGCCGCCGCTCGAAACGTTCACCGTCGTGATGAGGCCCTTGACCACCCTCTCATCGCCACCACGCACGCCTGAATGTAAAAGTTGTGCAGGCGGCTGTCCTGACACGTTTTTCGAAACTGCTACGAGCTCCACAGGGGACGAGAGAATCGCCTGCGGCTGCTGGTACCCTCTGCCACCCGATGCCACAGAGGGCGAGGGTGGTGAGCAGTGCATACAGCCGCTGGCGTCTGCAATCGAAGTAGACGAGACGCATGTCGGCCATGTCTCGCCACGAGGAGGTAGCGCATGTGGCGACCTCTGCTGAGCCTGCTGCGCAGCAGGCCCAGTGGGTGCACCGCTCGACGCCGAGGAACCAGTCGCCCCCGAACTCCCAGCGCTGCATGCCGAACCCCCCGAGGTCGAGGTAGTTGGCAGAGAAGAACCTGAGAAAGTACCAGACATCATCATGGCGAACGACAATGATCATCGTAGCACAAGCATGATTATCCAGCCATTAATGCGGGCTCCAGGCCGTCGCACCACTGAAGGCTTTCTTGGCCATCGCCCGCAACTCTTCAACCTCTGACGGTAGCTCTCCGACGAAGCCGACTGCCGAGAGACCTTCCCGCAACTTGTCCTCTTCCATCCCGTCAAAGTCAGGCTCCGTGAGCTTCGGCCTCTTCTGGGACGGCTCGCCATCCGAACCAGTGGGCCCCTCGCCCCCATCAGACGCCTGAACAGGTACCACCAGCTTGTCCACCAGCGGGTTGGCCTTGACCGCGACGAGCAACTCTCCGTGGACGCCAGCCGCCGCCAGCAACGCGTCCAGCACCGACGTGTCGATCTGCCCACCAGCAGCAGGCTTAGCACCATCAGGAGGCTGCGGAGCAGAGTTGCCCAGCTGTTGCAGCTGGCCCTCGAGCTCCGCGATGACAACCCTCTGGGCTGCTGCTTTAGACTCAGCTTCTGCCGCATCCTTCTGCAATTGCGAGAGCTCAGCCGCCTTAGCAGACGCAACCTTCTCCAACTTCTGCAACTTAGACGTCTCATTCTGCAGCTTCGTGGACAACTGCCGAATCCGCGCACACAGCGGCTGCTTGGAACGCCGCTTCTCCAGCAACGCGCCCTTGGCCGCCAGCGCATCAGCAGCCACCTGCTCCATGCCTGGCACGCCGACACAAGCCGCATGGATGCCCTCTTGAGCCGCCACCTGCAACATAATCTTAGCGTCCTCGTCATCCTCCGACTTGCTCTGCTCAGCGAGCTGCACCCCAGGCTGCGCCCCACTGGGGAGTTGGGCGTTCTGCTTGCGGAGCTCGGCGACCTCCGCCTGCAACCGAGCGGGCAACTTGGCCGTGTCCGATGCCGTCGCCCATGGAGGGGAACGCTCGGGCTTGGGCTTGCGTGCCGACGGGACCTTGGGCTCCACATTGCGAAGGAAACACGCTCCCTTGTGCATCCCTCCACATCCGTCTTTGACCCGCCCAGCACAGTACATCTTGTACCCTGGATTGATCCAAGGTTCACCAGAGCGCTGCACACAAAAGCGACACAGCCAATCCTGCTTCTCAGGCGGAGGGGCCATGGCTGCGTCGGCTGGGGCGTCAGGTTGGAGGCTCGCGAACCCCTCGACCGAGGGACCTCCGTACACACAGTTAGCTGCCGCGGACTAGCGGTATCCGTTGTTGCCAATGCGGGCTCAGCCCGCCAAAGCATAAGTCTTGAGCCAAAATGGCTACGGAGGAGGAGGAGGAGGAGGAGGAGGAGGAGGAGGAGGAGGGGGGGGGGAGGAGGAGGGGGAGGGGAGGAGGAGGGGAGGAGGAGAGGAGGAGAGGAGGAGGAGGAGGAGGGAGGAGGGAGGAGGAGGAGGAGGAGGAGGAGGGAGGAGGAGGTGAGGAGGAGGAGGGCGGAGGAGGGAGAGGAGGGAGGAGGGAAGAAGAGTACGACCGTGCAGGACCACGAGCAGGAGGAGGAAGAGGAGTGGGAGGGGGCTTCCCGCAACTGCGTATTGTCGCCCCTACGACGGAGGCAGGCGCTCAGCGAACCCTCGCGCCCTCACACGTTTTGGCGTCGGCGGCCTGGGCAGTAGCCATCTGGGAGGCCTCTATCTCGCCGGATGGGCTTCTCGTTCCGCACGTGAGCCCATCTTAGGTCACGATTGCCGCACCAGGCCTCAAGCAGCCTAAGTCGGTCTCCTTTTTTGAGGACAAGTAGGCCCTGTTCAGTTTCCCTTGAGGCCTCTATCTCCCTAGATTGGCTGGCGGCAGCCCCCTGCCATTTCTTGAAGCTCGAGCCTTTCTGGGCGGCTGGGCGGGCCCGCCGCCGCGGGGCCCGCCGAGGCTCCATCGCCGAGCTCGTCAGCGCACGCGACCAGCTGGACACCGACATCGCCGGGTACCTGGAGGCGAGGGAGCCTCGCCTTCTTCTGCTTTCAGGGGCACCGATACAGTGGAGGCCCATGCCAAGAAACATCCTGCTTGCCTCCAGGGTGCCATGGGTTTCTTGGGTTTCGATGGTTTTGCTATGGAAAGCGTGACGTTCCCACACCAAAAAACAGTTGACGCCTTGTGGCCTCAGGGTTGGGTTTCTATTGGAAGGTTTCTTGAGGTCGAGCTCCTACTGCACACGCCGGTCGTTGAAAGTCTGGATTCCCATGGATCCAAATCTACTTCGAGCGCCTTCTTTATTCAACAATATACATGCTTTGCTGCGCCTGTTTTTCTAGACGCTTCGCGTAACTCCACCAGCCCATCCAGCAACGATGCCCAGACGAGTTGCCCAGATCAGGGATGTGGAGGAACATGCGCTGGAAAAAAAGCTGGGTAAGACGTCATACCCCAACGCGGGGAGGATGGAGGGGGAATCAGAGGAGGAGAAGGAGGAGGAGGAGGATTAGGATAATAATGAGGAAGAAAGGGATAGGGAGATGGGGGAGGAGGACGGAGGCAAGATGCGAAACATGCGGATGAGGAAGAGCAGGAGAAGGAGGAGGAGGATACGAATAATAATATTAGTATTCGCGCGACTAGTAATACACATCTTTCTTTTGGTAGTAGCACTATCAGGAATTCGACTAAGAGCAAGACTGTGAACAATGATACTACGAGTCAGAAGACTAAGATTATTAATAGTTGTAGTACTAACAATACGAGTCATAATTCTAATGCTGCTCACAATCTGAACAACAGTAGCAATACTAATAATGCACTTGAACATACTTATGAACATAATACTCAGAAGACGAGGAGGAGGAGGACACGGAAGCCAAAGCCGCTGCATGGCAACGCAGCGCCCCCCCTCACTGAAGGCGAGGCCGCTGCCCTTCCTCCTGCTGTGATTCTTGGCTATGTGGTGGCAGAGTGGCTCGTCTGAACTCGTTCTTGGTTACGCTCGAGGAGGAGGAGGCGTAGGAGGAGGAGGAGGGGGAGGAGGAGGAGGAGGAGGAGGTGGAGGAGGAGGAGGGGGAGGAGGAGAGGAGAAGGGGGAGGAGGAGGGGGGGGAGGAGGAGGAGAGGAGGAGGAGGAGGAGAAGGAGTAGCGCCGCGCCCGGAGGGCATCGAGTCCACCAACGCTGAGGTCGAGGAGGCCAAGGCCGCGCGGAAGCAGGAGCTCGAGCTGTGCCGCCGGGCCGGGATTGGGCGGCGAAAGCGGAGGAGGAGGAGGAGGAGGAGGAGGAGGAGGAGGAGGAGGAGGAGGAGGAGGAGGGGGAGGAGGAGGAGGAGGAGGAGGAGGACGTGATGGAGGATAGGAAGGATAGGCACAAGAGGAGGAGAAGGGGAAGGCGGAGGAGGAGGAAGGAGGAAGGGGGAGGAGGCGGAGGAGGAGAGCAGCAATGCAGGATTGGAATGGGCCTCATCGCGATGCGAGTCCGAATGGCAACAACGCTAAGCCCGAACTAACGACGACCTTGCTCGGATCGAGGGCTGCCTTGGGTCTTTGGGCTGCAGCCCGCACTGGAGTCGCTGTGTATCTACGCATACTTATACACATCCCCCAAACAGTACTTGCACTTAGGGGTTCTTACTTCGGGAATCAGGAACTGGTCCTGTGCGTCGGTCTGGCTGCTGTGTGTCCGCCGTCGCCGACCCGCAGCCGCCCATCGTTTGGACCTGTGCGTCGATCTGGCGGCTATATGGCCGCCGTCGCCGCCCCGTCGCCGCCTCGTCGCCGCCCATCGTTCGGACCTGTGCGTCGGTCTGGCGGCTATGTGGCCGCCGGCGCCGCCCCGTCGCCGCCTCGTCGCCGCCGCGCTTCGCACTGCATTGCTCTTTGTTCCGCTGCACACAAGCGATTGCGCAACATAGATTGCACCACATAGGTTGCCTGCTCCATTTGTTTTCTACCACATCGATTGTCTTTTCTCAAAAGGAAATGGACTCTACCCCCCCTGGGATTATCACCTCCCCCTTTCGTATTGCAATTTAATATGTGATTCAGTCACATCGTTCATCCTACATATGAATTCGTACCATCCAGGGGGAACTGGTATGGGTCCCCCCACCACCCTCTGCGACATCTTTTATGTGCGCGCACTCGTTTATCAACATTCATTAGTTTTCAATGTTCCCTTCAATAAATAAAGCGAAGTGCGCACGCGCGCGTCGTCGCGCGCGCATGCCGAAATCTTTGAAAAACCGTGGGTTTCGTAAGGATGTCAAAATCGAGTGTCCCAACAACAAAAAGAAACACAAGGTTTCGCAACACGGATTTTCAACAAAAAGCTTGCGCGCGCGTGTTCCTGACGAAAACCATAGTTTTTAAACATGCTACCAAACTGATTTCGCGCGCGTGCATGTCGAAATCGTTCGTGCGCTCTTTGCGCGCGTGCCGTCGCGAAAATCTTTCGCAACAAATGGGACGGAGTGCGCACGCGCGCGTCGTCGCGCGCGCATGCCCAAATCCTTGTCAAACCCGTGGTTTTGTGACGGTTTCACAACCGACGGTCCGACACACATATAACAACGCATGGTTTCGCAGCGTCAGTTTTCAAAAAAGCTTGCGTCCGCGCTCTTGCGAAGTCGTTGGAAAACCATATGGCGCCGCATGCCGACATCATTCGCGCGCCCTTCGCGCGTGCTGGGGGGGCACGATCCGTGTCAAATGTTGCAATGAGGGCCACTCGCGCGTCGGCCGCGCGTGCATGCCAAACTCTTTCCAAAACCTTCATCGCCCGCGGAGACGCCGTCATCGTCGTCGGCGTGATCAATATCGGCGCCCGCACTGGCGGCGCCGTCGTCGTTGTCAACGTCGTCACCAGCATCGCTGACGTTGCCATGATACCGCGTCCGCCCAAGTCGCCGACTCGCACTGAAGTGCCCGCTGGGATGTGCCTGGCGGTCAGCACCACCGCGGCCGCGTCGGTTGCGCCAAACTAGCTGGCCGCTGCGCGCGCGTGCTTGGATTAGTGCGGCCGCAGAGATGGACCAGCCAACGTCGAGCATTCATCGCAATCGCGACCGCATGGGTTTTGCAAGATCCCCTTTCTCGTATCGCAGAATGCATGTGATTCTGGCCCATCGTCCATCCTAATTGTGTGAGTTTGTACCATCCCAGCCGAGCCGGTACCCGCCCCCCCCGCCTTCCTTTGCAAAACATATCTTGCGCGCGCGCTCGTTTATCAAAAACCATAAGTTTGCGACAAATCCTTTGCGAACAACAAGTGAAGGAAGTGAACGCGCTCGCGTCGTCGCGCGCTTGCTGGAATTCATCGAAAACCTTTGGCTTCGTAGGGAATTCAAAATCGAGTGTCCAAAAACGCACAACGCACAGTGCGTTTTGCAGCGCGGATTTTCAAAAAAAGAGCTCGCGCGCGCGCTCTTGCGAAGTCTTTGAAAACATACCACAGGTTGCTCAACATATTCAGAGCATGTTATCAAACGGGCTTCGCGCGAGCGCATGCCGAAATCGCTCGAACGCCCTTGCGCGCGTGCCGTCGCGAGAATCCTTTGCAACCAAGGGAGCGAAGTTCACGCGCGCGCGTTGTCGCGCGCGTGTGCCGAAATCCGTCAAACATCTTCGGTTTCGTAACGATTTCAAAACCGAGTGTCCAAATCATCTACAACAAACACATGGTTTCGCAACGTCAGTCGTCAAACAAATGGTTGCGCTCGTGCCCTTTCGAAGTCTTAAGGAAGCCATTGTTTATCATGCATTTTCATGGATTCCCGCCGAGCGCCCCCCCCCCCCCCCTCGCGCCGCGTGCCGACATCATTCGCGCGCCCTTGCGCGCGTGCTGGAGAGGTGCGATCCGTGTCAAATATCACCGTGCGGGCCATTCTCGCGCGTCGGCCGCGCGCATGTCGAACTCTTTCCAACGCCTTCATCGCCGACGCGAGGGCGCCGTCATCGTCGTCGGCGTGGTCAGTATCGGCGCCGCCAGCGGCGTGTCGACCGCCACCAGTGTGCTGGCCGCGCTTTCGTCGGTGTCGGCGTCGCCGCCAGCGTCGCTGCCATCGTCGTCGTGTCGACCGTTGTCGACGTTGCCGTGGTGCCGCGCCCGCCCAAGTCTCCGACTCCAAGTGAAGTGCCTGCTGGGATGTGTCCGCCGGTCAGCGCCGCCGCGGCCGCGTTGGTCGCGCCAAACTAGCTGGCCGCTGCGCGCGCGTGTTTGGCTTGGCGCGGCCGCGGAGATGCATCGGCCAACGCCGAGCGTGCATCGCAATCGGGTGGGTGGTTGGGGTGTTTGCAAGAGCACGGGATGTGTCAATTCGCTTGTTAACATAAAGCGGAAATAGACTCTGCTCCCCATTTTGGGGGTGTCGCAAGTGGCAGGTGATTCTTCCAAATCGCCCGGCCGAAATATGAACTCGTGCCATCCCAGCCGAGCAAGCATCAGCCCCCCCCCTGCCATCCTCTGCAAAACGTATTATGCGCGCGCAACTCGTTTATAACAAATCATGAGTTGGTGAGAGTCCTTTGCAACAAAAAGAAACGAGGTGAACGCGCGCGCGTCGTTGCGCGCGCGTGCCAACTTCTTTCGAACGCATTCGGTTTCGCAAGGGTTTCAAAATCGAGTGCCCTGGATATTTTTAAGGGAGCTGGGTTTCGCAACGCGGATTTTCAAAAAGCTTGTGCGCGCTTGCGAACTCTTCCTAGGAAACCATCGGTTTTTCCTCCAACATTTTTTGGGAACTGCTGCCAAACGCGCTTCGGTCGCGCGCGCGTCGAAATCATTCGAGCGCCCATGCGCGTGTGCCGACGGGGGATCCTTTCTTGCCAAAATCAGGCGAAGCGCACTCGCGCGCGTGCCGAAATCCTTTGAAGCACATGTTCCTGTGACGTTTTCAAAACCGAGTACCCAATACATTCACAAACACATATAATTTCGGAACATCAGTTCTCAAGACAAGCGACCACGCGCGCTCTTGCGACTTTGCGCAACATTTTCATTCAATTCTGCCAAACGGGTGTCTTGCGCCGCATGGCCGACACCATTCGCGCGCCCTCGTGCGCGTGCTTTGGGGGGGGGGGCGGGGCGCGATCCGTTTCTAATATTGCCATGCGGGCCGCTCTCGCGCGTCGGCCGCGCGCGCGTGTCGAACTCTTTCTATTACCTTCATCGCGGGCGCGAGGGTGGCGTGATCGGCGTCGGCGCCCGCGCTGGCCTCGCCTTGGTCGTTGTCAGCATCGTCGCCGGTATCGCAAAAATCATCGCCGTGTCTACCGTTGTCGGCGTTGCCATGGTGCCGCGCCCGCCCAAGTCGCCGACTCGCAGTGCAGTGCCCGCTTGGATGCGCCTTGCGGTCAGCGCCGCCGCGGCCGCGTCGGTCGCGCCCAACTAGCTGGCCGCTGCGCGCGCGAGCATTCGCGGGCTGTCGCGGCCGCAGAGATGCGCAAGCTGCGGGTGGGTGGGCGGGATCATTGCGCGAGCAGCGGAGTGGACAACTTCAAGTTGAGCGTGGGTGGATTACGGATCGTAGGCTGCATCGCGTATGTTGCTTCACATTCATAACGCACCATGCAATCGCCGCGTAGATAGCCCCTTCTAAAAATAATAATCGACTCTACCCCCCTCTGGGATTACCGACCCCCCTTTTCGTTTTGTGATTTACAACTGATTACGCCCTTATCGTCCATCCTAGTTGTGAGCTCGGACCATCCTAGGGGGGCCAGTATCCGCCCCCCCCCGCCAACCTCTGCAACAGATATTATGCGCGCGCTCTTTTTTACAAATCAAGTTTTCAATGGCCCCCCTGCAACAGATGGGGCGAAGCGCGCGCGTCGTCGCGCGCGCATGTTGGCATCCTTCAAAGACTATTAGGTTCCTCCAGGAATTCAAAATCGAGTGTCCCAAGAGCATGTGAACATATGGTTTCGCATCGCGGATTCCCACAAAAAGATGGTTCGCGCGCTCTTGCGAATTCTCAAGAAAACCATGTTTGTATAATTTACACACATATATAGCACTAACCATATTCAGAAGATGCACTTCTGTCAAACGGGCCTGTGGCGCCGCGCGCCGACATTATTCGCCCGCCCTTGCGCGCGTGCTGGGGTCGGGGGCGGGGGTGGGGCGGGGTGGGGTGGGGTGGGGGTGGGGGGGCGCTGTCCGTTTCAAATAATGCAACGCGGGTAATTCTTGTGCGGCGGCCGCGCGCGCGTGTCGAACTCTTTCCAC